GAACAGCAAATTAGGCGCAACGTCATAATATTATTCACACACCTAAATTAATTTAAGTTACTATATGGTGCATCAAAGAGGACCCCAAAACACTCGAGATTTCTGGGTGATGTGTGTTTTTGTGGGTGTTGTCGAAAGATGATGAAACTTTTTGGTGAGTTTATTACGCGTCATGGCTATTTTAAAGTATTTTTGAGACAAGTTTTTATTGTATATGTTTACCTTGTGTGTGTGCGTGTGTGACTCGTTCTGTTAGAATTAGGGGCCCTGCAACGAACAACGTCATAAGGGGTTAAAGGACTTTAAATTCTCTAACTCTGGTGGTAATGGCTTATTATGCATTCTTCTTAGGCAAGAAACCGTAATGGGTCAGCTAAGGGTGAGGTGTTTAATTTTATCATTCTTCCCTGTTTTATATAACGTTGTTAATGTAAACGCCTGAGAGAACTATTAACTGGTAAACAGTTTAGATCCGTGACGATTCAAGGAGACAAAACGACGCAATTTACTGCACGAATCTGTGACGATAACGTGATTTTGTTAACCTCTATATTGGATCTGTCTTCACGCGTAAAGTGGAAAATTTGTGGTTAAAATCGTGTGTTGGTCTACCATGACAAGTTCAAATGGAGTCTCGTCATTCTCAATTGATAGCGTGTCGGGCTGAGGATCGTAGGGCCCAGAGTTTGAATCGTGAAGTCACTGAACAGATCCGCACTTTCAGCTGTGTGTGCGTTATAAAAGTGAAAATCAATTCCATTATCGAATTATAGAGCCGGACAAATCTCATGTAGTAAAATTGCTTCTACTTGGCTGGATGCCTGCCCTCTGGTCGGGCAGGCATGGCCAGGTGGTTAGGGAGCTCGACTCGCAATCAGCCGTGAGGGCGTTATTATGTGACGGTAAATCCTACTATTCGCTGGTAAAAAAGTAGCCCAAGAGTTGGCGGTGGGTGGTGATGACTAGCTGCCTTCCCTCTAGTCTTTCATTGTTAAATTAAGGACAGCTGGGGCAGATAGCCCTCGCGTAGCTTCGCGCGAAATTCAAACCAAATCCCTCTGGTCAGTAGTTAAAAATGTAAGATAGGTATATTTGAATTCTTGGGGTCTTTAACCTGACCGTTTAACGTGCACGCATAATGTTCTATTCAGTTTGAGAATTCCAATTTGAAATTCACTTACACAAAGTATGGAAAATAATACAAAAAATGTACTTTTTAATATTTAATTTTTAATTAAGACATGTAAGAAATTATCACTAAATTATTAACTTTTAATTATCATACTGTTTACATCTGTTACCAGATTAGTCTGTATAATGTTGTTGTAGAACATGGAAGTATACGTATGTTTAATTCCAGGTTTGAGCTTTTCGTTTGTTTATTGTTAAGCACACAGCTGCACAATGGATTACCTGTGTTGTAACCAGCACGGGTATCGAAATTCGATTTTTAGTGTTATAAGCCCTCAGGCTTACCGCTGAGCCACCAGGGAGCTGGGGGCTCGGGGGGGGGGGCAGTTTCAGTTTACTACGACGACCAGAAATGTGAGTAGTGTTTTTCAATATCTTATCATCTTTTACATAAAAACGTATCCTGGAGTGACGTAGTTTAGTGATGGAAAGTTTTAACTCAATAATTAATTCGTACGTTAATGTTTATCGTTCCAAAATATAACAATTGGCAGGGTATTTCAAAACATTTTATAGATTTACAATACTTGTGTGATGTTCCAGCCAAATGTGCATTACCAGTAAACGTTGGAAATGTCATTGGAAGATTAAACAAGCTTTTTTCGATTACTCATGCGGCCCCCCAGTGACACAGCGGTATGTCTGCGGACTAACAACGCTAGAAACCGGGTTTCTATACCCGTGGTGGGCAGAGCACAGATAGCCCTTGTGTAGCTTTGTGCATAATTAAAAACAAAACAAACAAACAATTACTTATGAAGAAAAAAAATGCATCTGTTTTAGTTTACTCTACTACAGAAAAAAATAACAGTTTTAACAAAAAAGACCTCCCTACGGTGGGTCAGCAGTAAATTTACGGATTTGCAATGCTAAAATCTGGGGTTCGATTCCCAACGGTGGACGGGGAGAGTGCAGATAGGCCATTGTGCTGCTTTGCGCTAAAAACAACAACTGAGTCGAGACAGGCTACTTTCTACCATAATATAACAGCCGATTATATATATATATTTCGCTCTCCAGGATGTAACTTCGTATTTTCATCTCTACCACACTTCGCCAACGAAGCAAATACATACCAGTAGTTTTTAAATGTTTGCTCTACGTGTGCTTAGAAAATTGGTATTGGATCTAGGAATCGTTAACGAGGAAAATAATCACGTGCGTGTGTATTATTATTATACGCATCTATCTATGTTATTGATTGGCTAATTGGATGCTTTCAAGTCTAAACCTAATCAACACAACGTTAATTAACTAGCTCTTGTTTGTTTCGCTTACCTGTATATGTCTGAAAGTCACTTTCACCGGTTGGTTCAGGTTTTGGTTTCCGTACTGATTTAATGAAGCTGAGAGGACGCGAGAGTTGACCACGAACGATCTGTGTTTTTCTACACTGGTCACTGTTGAACGTTGGTTGGCTGAAGTGAGCAAAGTTTCAAGTTTGTTGTAAGCAAGGAAAAGGACACGGATAATTCCTGTTCCATAGCAAAGAGAAACGAGAAGCGTTATCATAAGTTCTAACATTCACACCACACAAAATTACAGTGATTACGAAACATCATCGAACACTAGCAAAGAGAAACGAGAAGCGTTATCATAAGTTCTAACATTCACACCACACAAAATTACAGTGATTACGAAACATCATCGAACACGCTCGCCCTTTCAGCCGCGGGGACGATAATATGTGACAGTCAATTCCACTATTCGCTGGTTAAAGAGTAGCCCAAGAGTTGGCGGTGGATAGTGTTGACTAGCTGCCTTCTCTCTAGTTTATCACTACAAGATTAAGGACGGCTAATGCAGATGGTAGCTTTACGCGAATTTCAAAAACAAACAAACAAATCCGAAACCTAACGGGTAAAAAGAAAACTTATAGTTTTGAGGGGGACATTTACAAAAGTTTACTGGTATAGGAGATACGTACATGAACAACATCCAGGTCGGCAACTCTTTAAATCTCTTAACCAGCTGATAATATCCCCCCCCCTAAAAAAATTAACCCACTTTAAATATCGACTGAACTTTTATCAAGAACTACCGGTGAACGAGGGTTTCTTGTACATCGTTCAAAATTAGGGTTTACGTATTTATTTGTTCTATTTCTATTTTAATCCTCAAATAACCGACTTGACTACAAACATCTTGTTAGTAAATTAAGAGTTAATATTATAAAATTACAATAACCCACGGACTTTTTAAACATGTTTTACAAAACTATGTACGTAACACATAAACATGTAAACAATGATACGGTCGAATATTGTAGTGACTTCCGTTAATTACTACTGAATTTTATATGTATTTGTCCCCCTGTGGGACAGCGGTAAGTCTTCGGATTTACAACGCTAAAATCAGGGGTTCGATTCTCCTCTATAGACACAGCAGATAGCCTGATGTGGTTTTGCTATAAAACACACACACTCATACATACATACATACATCCTATGTAGATGAGTTTTTTATTTTTTTATACTCACTTCTTTACTCTGTCTGTTACATCAGTCAATGTAAAGAAGTGACTATGTAGATGAGTTTTTATTTTTTTGTACTCACTTCTATCACTAACAGTACTGGACGTCAATCCGCATTAACAAAAATTACAGTGAAATTTCACCAGAAAAACCTTAGGCCTATTTAACATAAATTAACTTAAACGTAAAGCTGTATTCACATTCTTTCTTCAATTTTAGTTTCCTTATGATTGGTTATAACGGTTAATATATGTATATAAACATTATATACACTCATATATGAAGAATATATTGCTTTGTTAGATTTACACAAGAATTTTCGACTAGCCTAAATGTCCTAAGCTTCTCAAACCTTAGATATTATTATGAGATATTATCTGGATTATGGCCGAAAATATCGATAGTATCTTTCTAATCGTTATCGAGTTTTAGTCTCCATGATTTGTTTTATAACCAATCACATTCTTATTTAGACAGGCATATAAAATTGGTTACATTATTTGCTAAGTTTTTTTCTCTCTTTTTAGCTTTGATCTGGGGAGTTAGCTTTAAAAAAGCACCATTTTTAATTGTTTGTTTTTATTTGTAAGAAAAGAGATATTCTTTTAATCGGGACGAGCCTCGCGTGACGTATTAAGATTAAGGAAAACACGTGAAATGTATACTTAAATAACAGAACAAAAATAAGTAATTGAAGAAACCTTTATAAAGTTTTTTTGTTGAATTTCGTGCAAAGATACACGAGCGCCATCTGTACTAGCCATCCCTAATTTTGAAGTGAAGACTTAAGAGAGGACAGCTATTCAACACCACCCACCGCCAACTCTTGGACTACACGTTTACCAACGAAAAGTGAGATTGACCGTTACATTATAACACTCCCACAGTTGAAAGGGCGAACATGTTCAGTAACAGGATTCGAACCCGCGATCCGCAGGTTGCGAGTTGAGTGCCTTAACTACCAGGCCATGATAGGCCTAATTAATAAAGGATTGTCCTTCTAGTCACTTCTAAAAAATATTTCGATAAAACAGGAAACATAAATGACCAAAAATTACCATTTCTTGACTGTTCAGTTAAAGCCGGAGTCGGTAATTCTATTGTATCTTCAACATCAATCCAAGTGGGGTCGCTTTTGTCATACGAGCTCGGGAATTGAACATTTGACATCGACCATGCATGGACTCGACGGACTGACACCACTGTAAAATACAAACAATGCAAAAAAAAAACGTGTTTACCTCACAGACAAGATGGCAATTATCAAAAATGGCGAGTACTTAACATTCTGTTGAAAACAACGAATTCGTTTTATTACACCTTTATTATATCGTCACGTACCAATAATGGTCACACTGCGTGACAAGACGTTTGGGTCCCTTGTTCTTATTTGTTGAAATGTGTCATAAAGTTTTGTTGAATTTTTATACTTCAGCTAGAAATAAATAATACATTAGGGCTAGTTTCTGAATAAATATATACATTAGGGCTAGTTTCTGAATATATGATACATTAGGGCTACTTTCTGAATAAATAATACATTAGCGCTAATTTCTGAATAACTAATACATTAAGGCTAATGTTGAACATATAATACATTAGGGTTAGTTTCTGAATAAATAATACATTAGGGTTAGTTTCTGAATAAATAATACATTAGGGCCATTTTCTGAATATATAATACATTAGAGCCAGTTTCTAAATATATAATACATTAGGGATAGTTTCTGAATAAATAATACATTAGGGCCATTTTCTGAATATATAATACATTAGGGCCAGTTTCTAAATATATAATACATTAGGGATAGTTTCTGAATATATAATACATTAGGGATAGTTTCTGAACATTTAATACATTAGGGATAGTTTCTGAATATATAATACATTAGGGATAGTTTCTGAACATATAATACATTAGGGATAGTTTCTGAACATATAATACATTAGGGATAGTTTCTGAACATATAATACATTAGGGATAGTTTCTGAATAAATATATACATTTCCTTTTAACTTTTATCTTTTTTATTCATTTATGTCTTGCTGTTTCTGTTTATAACACGTTTATCTTTTTAGGTATAAACCTTCTCTCTCTCTCTCTCTTTCTCTTTTCTTCATTTTCAAAGGGCCGAGGGTTAGCCCTGTGGTAGAGAAATTTTTGGATTTCGAAGCTGGCATTCCGGGTTCAAATCCATGCAATACCATAAACAATTCCCCAATCTTTAAGCAGTAAGTGCGTCATCAGAGCGGTAATTAATTCCTTACTGTGATCGGCGGATGCTGCTGATTGGCTGTCTTCCCTCTGGTAAGTAGTTCGAAATTAGGGCCGGTGGTACGCAACTTCAGTAGCTTTTCAACAAATACAGATATAAAATACATTTTTAAAGCTGCGTAGTTCAGAATCAAACCTGATCTTTTCGCATGCCGAACAAATGTCGTGCCATTTAAACTAAAGAAAGAAATCCTCAGTCACACCTAAACAATCTGGTTGCCATGCCCTTCCTCATAAAAACAAGGTCCGCCTTCTGACTTAATCTAAAAACATGGCTACTCATTGAATACCAAATTTTTGTTCTTAGGTAATTGAGTTTTTTTTACGTGGTCCAGGATAGAACTCGCCACTTCTCACGTGCCAAAGAAATGATCTACCATCTAAGTTAAGGAGTTAAGCCCTTAGTTACTGCTAGTATATCACGTACCATTCAAACACACTAATCACGTCAGTCCTTCGGATCAAATCTGGCACCTCTCGCATGCCAAGTGGTCAGTAAAGTAGGGGGGGATTAACCCCTTGATTCTGCTAGTTTTAACAATTTAAACTACGTTTAACATCTAACAAAAAGAATAATACCAAGCTTCAGCTATACTTACAAATATTACTTTGGGCTCGCTGTAGTAGTTCGAAGGGACTGTAATCCGCTAAAAGCCAAGTCACTCTTTCTAAAGATTCCAGGAGCGAAGATATCGTCAACTGTTTCGTAGGTTCTGGTAAGTCCCGCCAGGAGTCGCTTCGGGTGTCTTCAATAAGATTGCTTGAAGATTCTAATAAATTCTAAGCAACAGAGGACAATTGATATTGTTTTAACATCAGACAAAGTGATGCTCTAACGTAAGTCATTAATGTTAGCTAACAAAAAGCTATGTTCCATACTCCATTTTTTTATTGAGTGATATCGTAACGCTATTATAAATACGTAAACACTCGGTTAAACGAAAATCAAAATTGTTCGTAAACTTCTAATGTTACTTTAGATTCTACTATTAAGGTACCTGGAACACTTCTTGCACGATCGTGTATCGAGTCCTTCTTTCTCCAACGTTTCGAATTTTATGTGTCAACTTATCGACTAGTTTTTGCATTATAATCGTTGACTGTCGGACATCTCCGCCATACATCGGTTTTGTTCGGGTTAAGTCAGCTAAATCAATAGCTATCCTAACCATGGACTCTTCGGCTTCGATCTGGAAGAATATCAGTAAATGGTATAGAAATCAAGCAGAACAAGAGTAACGTGATTACTAAGATTAGGGAAGTCGACCACATCGCCACCTATAGGGACTTTTTACTGTTTTCGTAAAAAAAATGAAAAAAATTATTGAGTACATGACATTGCAGAGAAATGGAAAATGATTGGTGGAAAAATCATAGTTATTTCAGTAATACTTATAAATAAAAAAAAAAGTCATGCACGGGGAAGACATAGGAGCCCCCGGGAGATCACATAGTAGAGTCAGATCCGAACTGTGACCAGAGGGGCCTAAGGGTACGGGCATGCTATGTTTGGTGACAATCAGTCCAGTTATAAGTTAACACACATACAGGCTTCGTCAAACAATAAGTAGTTTATACTTAAATATTTCAGAATTAATATTATTTACTTGATCAAGCCTAGCTACGGTAGAAGTTATGACCAATTCTTGTATACATAAAGTTAGGCCTAATTTCATGCTTCAATGTACGGAAAAGTTTATAAAGACGGGTGTTAACATCAGTGAAGATAATATTAGAGGGAACGTATATATATATAAACACTGTTTTTACATCAATTAATATTTAATCCAGGTGCAAAATCGATATTTAATCACACACAGAAAAAAAGAAAGAAAAAAGATTGAGAGTATTATAGCACGGGGAAAAAAAACAACTATAAACACCAATTTGCACGTTGTGAAACCTCTAAAGTGGAACTCCCTCAGCCTACAAAGGATTTTTTGTTAATATGGGTTATGATATTTTTGTGTATACGAACCCTGTTGTCTAGATTATCCACCCATGCAGAACGACAGCCGCTTAGATCTGGCTTATCTGGTGTCCACTGTACCAGTGTTGTACCACAAAACCACCTTGCGTAACCTGGAAAAATAAAATAAAAACTATAACGACATGTTTTGTTTTTTAAATATGAAAACGGGTCACAAACAAAGGAGAAACAGTATAAATCTATAACATTTCACTCACAATACGTTACATATATTATTTAGTTTGTTTATCACTGCCAAACTGAACGATGAGTTATCTACCATGCCGACAGCAGGGATTGAACCCCGAATCTAAGAGTTGTAAATACTCAAGATTACCGCTGAGCCACAAGAGGGATAAAATGTATATATTTACGTTTTCTGAAAATAAGGAAAAGGACGGGTGTTATAGCGAAAAAAAAAGTTTTAAATTTAACTGTTATTAATTAAAATCCAAGCCCCCAATGACTCAACGGTAAGGCTGGAGGCTAATAATGCCCAAAAACTGAGTTTCGATACCCGTGTTAGTTTACAGCACAGATAGCTCATCGTGTTGTTTTGTGCTTAACTAAAAACCCACAGACGAACAAGAAGAAAAACATGATAAAATTGAATATTGAATTCATATAAATGAAAAAAAAACAACACACACACAAACTCAAAACAAAACAGCAACTATAATATTTTAACTTTGCAAGAACGATCATACTTATTACTTAAATTTTCCAAATTCACTACTGTAAAACGAAACGTCTTCCGTTGCTCATAAACTGGTCATTTTTGATCAACCTCACCTGTGGCGCCATCAGGACATTTCTGTATCAACACTTGACCTTTTCTCGTGCGATTCCACAACAGTTGTCTACTGACGACCGGTGGGCAGTAAGTATCGATAAGGTTATCACTACTGGCAGGGGAGTGACGTGGGATGGTTGGGATGCTGATTTCTGTAAAGGTTTAGACTGGATTATCTAATGGAAGTTAATCTCTCGTTGGATTATCTAATGGAAGTTAATCTCTCGTTGGATTATCTA